CCGCCATATTTAGTTCCAGGATTTGTAAAGCCTGGCTCAACTCGTTGTGAATGCGATCTTATAGTGTTAAGGTCTAAATTGGGCAAGATAAGTAAATATATCTTTGAAGGATATAAAGAATATAGAAAATATGTCTTTTGGAGTCTTTCAGAGGTGTATAAAATACCTTTAAGTTTTAACTATGCGCTTTGCTAGTTTGTTAACCATAATTTATACACTGTTCCGGCTTAACGGTAGCTGCACTTGGGATGGGGCCTTTGTGTAGTTTAAAACACGCACTTTGTTTCAGGGCTCAGTCCCAATGAAACTATCGGTTTACGTAGATCGATCATCTCCTCGGGGACTCTCGCCGAATGTAATCAGATTGACAGATGAACACGCTTCCTCTTGTTCCCAATGTACTCTCATAATCACCAGCTTTACTGTATTCTGCTCAACGCTAGGAGCAGGAGTGCTTACCTCTTAATTAGACTACATTCAACGAGAGTCCAGGCGGAGTTGGAACGGTCTGTGTAGACCGATAGTTTCATTGGGCATACTGTACATGAAAAGAACTTCCTTTACTTTCCACTTTATTAAAGCAAGATATCCTAAACCCAAAACAGTCGAAAAGGCACCGATCCATAGCTATAAACTTATCTTGTAGGTGCAAATTAAAATTTTTACCCTCACGAGCAATATTAATCAGCCTCTACCAGTGTTTCAATGACGAAAAAAAAAAAAAAAAGAAAAGTAAGATGTTTTAGTGTGGTAAATATCACCACGACCACCAAGACATGCCCTCTCCGTACCAATAAACTAATATTTGAGCTGCATATTACAAGGTGTGTACACCGCTTTGTTGCCCCATTGCCTTTATCATAGATACTTGTAGATCTTATCGTGCTTTCAGATTAGGTCGTCCCTCTTATTTATTAGTTCTAAAAACTTACAACCTCCGGAAAGTCATCGGTNATGCTTTCTTCACCACGAGTTTAACTGATGAGCATGCGCACTTAATATTTCTCAGGTAGCTTCCGCATGGCGAACGGAGACGCGATTTAATTACTGTACCCCGCAGGGACGACGTGTGGGGAGGCGGAGAGACTATTAAAAGATTAGGCGGTTTTTCTTTCATGTACGTCCGCCATTTTTAGGTCACCGGCTTTGTAAAGCCTGGCTTAATTCGTTGAGAATGCGCTCTTAGTGTAGTAAATATCACCACGACCACCAAGACACGCCCTCTCCGTACCAATAAACAAATATTTGAGCTGCATATTACAAGATGTGTACACCGCTTTGTTGCCCCATTGCCTTTATCATAGATACTTGTAGATCTTATCGTGATTTCAGATTAGGTCGTCCCTCTTATTTATTAGTTCTAAAAACTTAGAACCTCCGGAAAGTCATCGGTGGTGAGAAAATTTTAAAGTCACGAGATGCACAGTGCATGGATATGCACGTAGTACTGCACTTATGTGCATGTATGCAATACATTATAATGCAACGCAGTGTTTTATTGGCGCAGATATGTGACGGTGCATGTAAAAAGGGCCCCTTTTTTAATAAATAATAAGTTGTCGCCGATTCTGCTATGAAATAACGGTGTTGGTGGAATATTCCAACTCGAGATTCCCCATATATATTAGAGTTGCATATACATGTATTATTTATTGACACTTGAGCTTTTTTTGTTAGCCAATATATAGTAGTATATATAGTTTAATTTGACGTCACGCGCCGTCCCCCTTTTGGAGTGCGTGTATTGCACTTGTGATACAGTTCACGATCCACTTAATGAGTGTACAGTATTTGTAGACCATACTGTCTTGGCTGTTCTGTAAGTAACACGGCGTTTACTTCCTAAAGCATTAATTAAAGGATCGTTTCTTTGGCCACATCATTTTGTGGAAGAAACCGGCGTAATTTGCGTGCGACTAGGAGGCAGCGTAACGGTAGGTCTACGTGTTTTCCTGCAGGTTTGCTGGGTTACATAACTTGTTTTTGGTAATTTATTGTCCTAGCGACAGACTCACTTATGTCATAAACCTGGCATAAATAGGTGAGGGTAGAGCTAGGAGTGTAAAACAAATAATTGATAGAGAGGGACGGGAGCTGACAAGGGGAAAGGAGAGAGAACTGAAAGACTTGAAAAGTGCTTGGCAAATGAATCGTTTTGTAGAAAGAACATTATTATGAACCTCATAATGTTAACATACTTCCTTTCCCGTGAGCTGACGGTCCAATATACAGGGCACAGTGTTTATAAATATGTTTGAACTAGAATTATAAAGAAACGATATCTAAAAGTTAGGATCTCTCGACCTAGAACTAAACGTACGACATACGGTCAACATACAGTACCAAAACACATGGATAATTCGTGGGCTCCTATGCTATGGCAGCCCCTTCAAATAACCGAGTAGCTTTGATCGAGCACACTAAAACTATTGAGCTGTTCTCGCAAAAGGGTATTATTCGAGGAAAATATTAGACCACACAAAAAATTGTTTTTCTTCAAAAATGGAAACAGCTTTTTGAAAAACCCTGTATCTAAAATTCCGCAAATACTGAGATATTGATTTAATGTTGGCCATCACATATTGTCATAGCCCCATTTTTGAAGGGAGTGAGGGTAGGGCTATGGCTAATAATGCACCCCTCTCGTTACTGCTGAAATTTTTGACAACAGGTGTATTAAATCCAGTACGATATTGATGTCCACTCTGTTGTGATTTGTCTTCCACAAAACCATACTCCTCCTGTTTTTATGTCACGATTAAAAACCATAAAGCAAGGCAAAAGTAGCAGGATGTCTTGATCGAGATTCTGTTTAGGTCTCGGAACATTTCCCTCACGGTACACGAATAATTATGGGCTGTACGCGCTGTTATATAAGGGGAATGTTAACATAAAGTAGATACTTAGGAGGTCCCTGGGCGCTAAAAAACCTCAAGTTTGCAAATATCGGACAAAATCTTAACTATATATATATTGTTTGATAAAACTATCTCGTAATCAGAGCCAGTTACTGCCCTGCATCAAATCGTCCCATGTGTAAACGTTATCAATAAACACAGGCGGAGGTTATCAAATATGTCATAAAGTAAAGCCCAAGGAATGCTGTCCAAGGACCCATTCAAAATAGATGATCCGAGTACTAATTGATCCGCCGACTAAATATGGCCGACCACACTTCAAAAGAGATGCCGCTGATTCTTTCTGTTCTCCCCGCCTCCACACTCGCCATTAAATCTCGACTCCAAGGTTTAATTGCTAGGCCCCTGCAGCGACGGCGAGAATCAGCAGCATCTCTTTTGAAGTGCGGTCGGCCATATTTAGTCGGCGGATCAGTTAGTACTCGGATCATCTATTCTGAATGGGACCCAAGATTTGCTTCTGTTAATTCTTAACAGTTTGGCTTTACCCGTTAAATATCGTTACGGCATTGCAATGTATATATCGGAATAGCTATCGGGTGGTCTTGTGGTGAGGGTTTGACTCCATTCGAGGACACACGTACAGGTACTAGCCCCCCATTCAGGTTACTTGCTGTCTCTTCGCGTGACACTCAGAGGTTCAGAGCCCCAGCAGGAGTAAAGTTCCCGTGGTCTGGCAGTGAAGGGTATTGTTCGAATGAAAGTTTTCAAGACGAATTATATAAGTTAATAATGCAGCCAAACTGTTTTCTCCCCGGGGAGGTCAGGTCGTCTACAGCCGGACCATAAGATGTGCCATTGTTATAATGTAGAATATAGGGAAAAGCGTTTGGAACCCCCCGGTGGAGCTGAACCCTTAGAGGTACATACGAACCGAGCATCGGTGGAGCGTGGATTCCCAGTAACACATATAAACCACTTCTACTAGTTTCATATACGACTCGAATAAATTTGACATGAGATAGGATAAATTGAATTGATCACTCGATGACCGTAAAAGAGCTTAAGACTGCTCCTTTCTTTAAATTTTTGGTCAAAAATTTGACCTACTTTTCTGCTCTATTGACATACAGTATAGAATGCTAGCAGAAAAATCCGTTCAAACATCATTTACATGTAAAATTAAACAATGCCTTTTGGTAATCATCTTAGTTATACTACTTGACACTATATGCTGGCATTTGGTTGACTTTTGTGGCAAAAAGTTGACTTGATATGTATCTTTAATTTAGACCACCAGTCCATGCTCATCAGAGCACTACCCGCACCTTTGCTTGTAGTGTACTCGCCAACATTTCAAAGATGAAGATACCTGTAGGTCCATTTTACGCGTTTTATCTACAATAAAATGCCCTGCGCCGTCTAGTGTGACCAGTCAGATGGACGCAGGTGATTCACTTGACGGAGCAGATGGTACGTGTGGAGACTCCTGTGTCATTATTTTTAATCTACAACTTTCGTACAGTAATCAGATAACCGCATGCTGACACGAATTAAAAAAGTCAATAAGTCAGACAGGCCAGTTGTATAACTAGTACACTCGGCCTGAGCAGGCATCGCTGGGTAGACTTTTTGAAAAGTTCGCCATATGTGCACTTTTAAATATAAGGTAAGAAACATATATACATGTATTGTAAAGTAAGATACGTAAGTTTTCAATTGAAGGGATACGAAATTAAAAAAGAAAATGAAAAATTAGTCATTTGTCATGAGGTCAGATGTTGTCGGATTTTGACCAACAGGCGACAAGTATATTAACCATGTGCTATCCGCCTTAGGTTATGTGATAAAAGGATATTACCAAATACTTGTTAACTCCGTAAGACGTTCACATAATATGTAGATAGGTCAGAAAAGCCCACTTGTTCTGTGTGGAGACACCCTTAAGGCCGCAACAATATGCTCTCTCTATATATATTCACACTTATTTACTAAGGGTTCATTCTCAATGAAACTATCGTTCTACTTAGATCGACCCAACTCCACGGCGAATCTCGCTGAACACAATCAGATTAACAGATTGACACGCCTATCTAACATTGAGTAGAATACAGAGAAGTTGGTAATTATACGAGTGTGTAGGAAACAAGAGTAGGCATGTCAGTCTGTTAAACTGACTGCATTCAGCGAGAGTCCCCGTACATAGAACGACATTTCCATTGGGAATGAGCCCAAATTCTTTGAACATTTCTGTTGTCACCAGCGCGAAGTTTATCACTTCATTTTAGAAATGAATTTATTACCCAGTTGGCTTCTGCAGAAAGTCTTTGATGTACACGAGGCACGCGTCGGTGCACGTATTTGCGAAACAAAAAGGGATATCATATATAAGCAACAGTGCAAGGTTGACAGTCACGAAGATTTACACGTGACATCGTCCTTTATATATTCCAATTCTACAAAATGCTTTTATCAACCGAAGCAATAAATAATAATATTTTAGTCGAGATCAAATTGTTAATCTTGTCATCATTAGAAGAGCGCATTTATAGGCCTATGCTGTAGAAACAAAAAATATTGAAATAGCACATCGTGTGCTTGTCCTTAAAATGTTTAATGGTTTAATTTATCTGCTAACTTTGGTCGTGAAATATTTTAATGTTTATTGCAGGCGTTAGGTAATTGACAAGATGAATGAAACCACAGACACGCATGGGTCCACGGAGGAACCAAACGGGGGACTACGGCATCGTGCATCGTTTTCCCAAACGGGAACAACAGATTCCACTTCCGGTGCAGAAGGATCTAATACACAAGCGCCCTCTACAAAAAATGGATCGGAAGATGTCAGGACAATACGGGTACTTCGACCGGTGTACTCCCAGTCGGCTTTTGATACATTATATGAGCATACCATGCCAGAGGAAAAAACAGTTAAAGACCACGTTCATCACACGTGGCGAAAACGCTGTGCGTGTTCTTCTGAATGCTTCAAAGCGTTTCTACTGCAACTGTTTCCGTTTGTTGGTATTATGCGCCAGTATAAATTCCCGCTGTGGCTGATATCTGATATTGTGGCGGGGATAACTGTGGGGATAATGAATCTACCCCAAGGTAGGGTCAAATACTACATCAAGCTTTCATTTTAAAACTGCCCCAAAGTACTATTGAATGTTTTATGTGTAACCCCCCCCCATTTCCAATCGAAGTCAAACCATTTTTATATGCAGAATGTCAATAACAATATAAGTATCAAAATCATACTTACATCTTTAGACATTTGAAATTATGATGAGCAAAGCTCTCTTTAAAGAACTATTAATTGACGCTGTAATTCATGTCAAAATGGATATTCTAAGATCATGTGGATGAATTATCACAGAGGTCGATCTTTAATTTTCAATCGTCTAAATTTTATATATTAGCTACAGCCTGTACAGCCGCTAAAGGTATTTTTTTCAGGTATGGCATATGCATTGGTGAGTGGTCTTCCATCGATTCATGGTTTATATGCATCGTTCTTCCCTCCGTTGGTCTATTTCTTTTTCGGATCATCCAGACACATTTCTATAGGTACGTGAAGCACGCAATGTGTTAGGTGAGACAGGAGTCATTGCGTTCAGCTGGAACTTACATATCCGGAAACACAATCACTATCAGAACAAAATGGCATCGTCTATCGTTGTAATTCTACACCGTAGATCATATAATAGCGTATGACACTGAAGCATGAATTTTGACTAAACAATAAACACATATAGGCCTAACTTTGGATATATAGGGCCTATATTGGATTTATTACTGTAAGGTCTACCATTAGAAAACAGATGATTTATTTTTTGTACCTTTTTTGGTACACAGGAGTTTAGTGGTAACTCTTTACACAAGAAGGTATCAATTCATCTCACGCATTACTTTCTTTTGCCAGCATCTGCTGCAGTGGCAAGTCTTCTTGTTGGCTCTTTTGTTGACAAGCAGACGGCAAACTGGACCCCGTCCACCTCGTTGCTTAACAACAGTACCGATAATACGTCACTGGAGAACGAGATGACGTGTAACGTTGACACCACCGACTACCAGGAGTGTGTAGACTTTAAGATTAACCTCGTCGTGGCTCTGACGCTGTTAGCGGGCTGTTGGCAGGTATGGTTTTCAGTTAAAATATGTGTTGTTTGCTCTCGATCGAACATTGAATTTAGCCGACAAAGAGGGGGGTTTTATAAAAAAAGTTACTTAATTTGTTTTTTGGAGTCTATTGACTGAAGCATCCTCAGCAAATTGTGGTTGTTCTGACGGTGGTTTGTACCCTCATTGATAGCCGGCATACATTTAGGTATGTCCAAAGTAACAATATTGGGGGTCAGTCATTTTAAATATATTTCTGATTAATATAACAAAGTCGACTTTTTGTAGTTCGGTATCCGATTTTTGCATGCAGTTTCGACTGATCAGAAACACTTTTCAGCCTTAAAAGAGTTTTTGTGAAACTGGGCCCTAAGTGTAAAGAAAAAAAAAACATCTGTCTTACCTCTGTGGCCAATTAACCACAAATATCCTTCATCATCGGCTTGCCTTCGTTAAAAAAATATGTATCTTCCAGTTGCTGCAGGGCATACTCCGCCTTGGCTTCATCACCAACTACTTGTCTGACCCCCTCGTCAGTGGATTCACCACTGGAGCCGCCTGTCACGTGTTTTCTTCACAGATTAAACACGTCTTTGGAGTCAGTGTTAAGACTGTGCCAAGTCCATTCAAACTGATAAGCGTAAGTTAAGTAAAATTATATTGCGTGGTGTGCACCTTTAATTCTCATAGTATTTTTTTTGCGAGTTGTGATTCAAAATCCTTGTGAAACTTAATGTTAAGATCCGTTGATTTCTTATACTAATAGAATTTCAGTCCCTTGATTTCAGCATAAATACATGTACCAAAACCATTGCTCATTATATAAGTTTTTTACGTATAATAACCATTAATATTAATATAGACCAATCCTTGGATAAAGAACTTCGTATACAATAGGTTTTATAACACGGATTGTTTTTCACGACAATATACGTTATGTTTCAGTTTTACATCCAGTTTTTCCCTGCTCTACCCCAGACCAATTTGACGGCTCTGATCATGTCAGCCATATGTATTCTTACTCTGGTTCTTATTAAAGAGTGTATCAACGCTAGATTTAAGTCCAAAATGAAGGTACCAATTCCTGCAGAGCTACTGGTGGTAGGTACCATCCATTTTCTTTAAAAACGACCCGTCGAAATATTTTGACTAAATAATGCTAATTTTTTTTCTTGGGGTTTATCAGAAAAGCAAACCAAGATTTCCAATTCAGATTTACACGTGTATCTCTGACTTCACAAAAATATGTTCCCTTATAAATACACACAACGCAGAATTTTATTTGAATGGGCTGATATATGTATTTTGATATATTTTATTAAATATGTTAAGACTGAGCCTTTGCAAGCCTTTTATCGCAATAATAACAATATGGTGTCATTTATGCATTTATCTTTGACTTTTTTGTTAGTATATATTTTTAACAAACATCTTGGTTTAATTTTCATATTAGGTAATAGGTGGCACTGTAGTGTGTTACTTTGTCAAACTGGACGAGGTTTACGACTTGGTTGTGGTTGGTGATATTCCAACAGGGTAAGACTTAAGAAATTTGGTGCATGTTTGGGTTCGCGTGCGTTGTTTGTGTGTGCATGCGCGCGTGCACTCGCATGTGTGTTTGTGTGTGTGTGTGTGTGGGGGGGCAGCGTTTAAATATCGCTAATCGCTCTCTTAGACTTTTCGAAATAGGTATTCGCACTTCAGGCAATGATGTTTCCAGTAATTCCTTATTTAAATGTATATTATGAAATCACTCATTTTTCTTCAATATTGTATAGTATATGACGCTCTGACGTGTTTAACCTTCTTTCCACCATATAACGACTGGGCATCTTGCTACAAAATCTGTCTTCAGTATTCCGCACCCTAGTATCCCACCGGCTAAATATTTCGGAGAAGTTGTCCTTGACTCGCTCGTCGTGGCAATCGTTGCCTTCAGCATCAACTTGTCTATGGCGAAGATACTGGCCAAGCCCCATGGTTATACTATAGACGCTAACCAGGTACACATCTTGCGTCCCTTCTCCCAACAAACGAGTGCTAAGATTTAAAGGATATTCTATGTCAAGCATTAAATTTAATAGCACTGAACCCAATGGTAACATTTTCATCGACCTAAACAAATCTGGTTGGAATGCACTTATGGGTTATTTTTAATGTGTTAGTTACTCTCCAAGAATGTTGGTCCTTCGGCAAACCTTTGGTTTCACCTTAATATCTCTGCATTCTGAAAAGTTTAAGAATAATGTGCTATTCATTTCAGGAACTTGTTGCTTATGGTCTGAGCAATGTGGTGGGCGGGTTCTTCACTGCCTTCGCCTCCGGGGCCTCCATGTCAAGAAGCTGCGTGCAGGAGTCGGCGGGGGGCAAGACACAGGTAAAGGCCACGTCGGTTATGAATAAAATGCAATTTCGGTAGTTTTCAGAATTCTACAAATAACCCCGATAAGTTTTAATGGCAAAGGCCTTTTCTTGTGGCGCCTTTTTTAAAATTCTATTCTTGCACTTTCAAAATCTTACAGGATCATGAGGATGTCCCCATGAGTTTCAATAATAGGGGTCTTTTCGGGAGGTCAAGTTATTTTTTAAAAAAGTATTCTGGTGATTTCAAATCACGAAACACGAATTATCAGTGCGAAGTACAGGGCTGTTTTTTGTGACTTGTCGTTCTTTCAAAATGCGAATCAGGTTATTTCTAAAATCTATAAATGTGCAAACGTAGCGTAGCGTTTTAAGATACATCTAATATCTTCCAAATTGTGTGTGCTAGTCTATTGTTGGACCAAATTGTTATCACTATTAAAATTATTTCTTATGTATTCATCACATTAATTTTTATCTCCATATTTTAGGTGGCGAGCATCATAGCCAGCGGTTTTATCCTTATTGTCATACTGGCTGCTGGACCACTGTTTAAAACACTTCCAAGGGTAGGCATATGTTTTTCTAAAAAAGTAAAGATTGAAAAGAAAAACGTTTTATATCCAATCAATAGCCATGAAACCCTCATATTCTTGTAAACATTTTGTACTGCTTTTGAAATAAGAATTATTATTAATGTTATATCATATTATATTTTTAGTGTGTTCTTGCCTCCATCATCATCGTAGCTCTGAAGGGCATGTTCCTGCAGGTCAAAGACCTGAAGAGGCTGTGGAAGATTTCAAAGTTTGATTTTGTAAGGAATCTGACTTTATTACCTTTACGATTGTGATGTCATCTATGATGAACAATGAACACAGCGCACGGCGTCACATCTAACACAGCGCAAAATGTCACACCTAACACAACAGCCCCCCCCCCCCCCCACACACACACCAATTACCCAAATCCGGGACCCACCAATGAATAGCAGTAATCGAAATGACGGAAGCGATAAACACAAGGTCCTTTTCTACAAGGTCCTAACATTCATGTAGAATGTATGATAAATGAAACGTGCAATAGAAAAGGACCTTGTGTTCTACACTCATGGAAAAACGGGTCATATTGGTAAATGGTAATCAGAGTTAAGGCACCCTATGATTTTTTTAAAAACTTAAATTAATACTTTTCGGTTCATGAATGTTAGATAATCAAACGCACATTTGTAATATCTTTCTTTTCCAAATATTTAGGCGATCTGGATTGTTACTTTCCTCGGAGTGGTTATCCTCAACGTGGACTATGGTCTCATGATTGGAGTTGGTTTCTCCCTGCTCACCGTCGTGTTCAGGACACAGTGGTAAGGCTTCTTAATTTATGGAATCAGATTCTGTAACTCATATAAAATTACAACTTAGTATTAAGGTGTTTCACGACTATATCCAAATGGTATGTAACCTAGATCGGTTTAACGCCCGATATGGTTTTCTGATATGTAACTTATATGAGTCCGGTATGATTTAATGCGCTGTTTCTTATTGTTCTCTCTCTCATTAGGCCGTACACGTGTTTGTATGGGAGAGTACCCCATTCGGACATATACAGAGACAGCAATATATACAAGGCGGTAATTATACTTACATCATATTCGTATCAGATACCTGCACTTTTAATATTTGAATTTCACCATTCATGTTATTTGTGTCCATAGAAAGCACTCTTATATGCTACTGTATACAGAATGGCACCTATCAAAGTGGCATGGAGGTACACAATGTATACCAAATGACAACAGAGAACGTTTAACAACCACGAATTGAAAACAACAGCAAGAAGTGATTTTAAAAAATGAGTCCTCTATTTTGCCGAGCAAAATTTCTGTTGATTTCGTTGACGGGTGTTTCATAAATTTATATATCCAGGTCGAAGAGATTCCAGGTATCAAGATATTTCACTTTGAATCTTCTTTGTATTACGCCAACGCTGAACACTTTCGGAGCAAGCTGTACGCAGCTACTGGCTGTGATCCTGGACTCCTGAAAGCAAAACAGATGAAGAGCAAAGAGAAAAGAGAGGCGTTGGAGAAAGAAAGACAGAAGGAAGAGAAGAAGAGACAAAAAGCAGAGGTACGAGTTGAAATGAATATTTCACAAGCAAACAATGGCGTTGTTTATATTGGAAAAATACGTATGCTTTAAGATTTGAAATTTAATTTAGTCCTAGGATGACTTTGTAGCGTTCAAACCATAGGTTGGTATTTTTGAATGGATAGATAATGATAATAAACAAAATATTAAGAAAGTTTTCACATACTGTCTGGTTTATTGCATGAAATAAATTGTAGCGTGTATACCAAGAATACCACTAACCTTTGACCTTACTCCTTTTAATCGGTTTTTTATGCCAATTTATATTACTTGGGCATTATCGGTAAGGTATAAAGTATATGTTATTCCATCCATAGCTCGCATTGTACAATCTCAGATCAAATTCCGAACAATTACTTTTTATCATAATAAAGAAAAGAACGGGAAACGGAGTAAGTAACGGCGCCATGATTGGCCAGTCCAAAGAGGTTCTTACCTTGGAAATAGAAGATATCCGTCCAGAAGACAATGTGGCTACCGAGGGCGTGGTCCACGGAGAACCTCCACCACAGCCAGACATCCACCACATCATAATTGACTGCTCAGCCATTACCTTTATTGACGCTGTTGGTATCAAGGTGCTGAAACAGGTAAAATAATTGCTCTCTCTTTCTCAAGTGATATCAAATCAAATAAGCCGTTTATAATACATGAAGGCCTATAGTGTTAAGATCAAATGAGTATATTTTGCTCGTCAAAAATCCATTATATATTTAGTTCGTTGTCTCTAAGTTATATGTTTCAGTACGGTTTTCCTGTATTGCTGTTTGTGGTTTAATCGTCAAATTTGTCACTCCAATATACTTGTTTGGTCTTAAAGCTTTTAAGTAATGTACCTTATCTTTCTTATTTAAGGTTTTATCAGAATACAAAGAAGTGAACATTCAGGTTGTTTTGGCACATTGCAGAGGTAGGTTAAACACAAGAAACTAAGTTACGTTTGTCGCAAAATGTTGAACAAGAAATTTTAGTATCTATAACGAGCTTTTCCAATACAGAATTAAAATTACGGTTAACTTTACAGATGCTCTACGTCTGTGTTATAATTGTTTGAAGCAGGTCAGCGATTGGTATCATATTTTGTATTCCAAATTTTATAAGATGATTAAATTTCTAAAAACATCAACATTATTAGCTGCATCCAAAATATTAAGTTGCAGACGCTTTCCCTTGCTCTGAATGTAAGCCATGTCCTCTTTTTATTCTAGTGATATTTAGTATCTTTAGTAAAAGAAGACGACTTGAATTTTTGTCTTTTAGTATATATATATATATATATATATATATATATATATATATATATATATATATAAGATTTGTGAAGTAAGCCCCCTGGTGAAAACGTTTCTAGGTAAACTTTATTGATATGTAATTGATATTAATCAGCCCAGCTCTCAGACATGCTCCACAAGAACGGTTTCATAGAGGACCACGGCAGAGACGTCGTATGTCTCATGGTGCACGACGCTGTCCTGATGGCTCTGGCGGATGACCTTGACCTACTTAAGAAGGTGAAAGAACGGTTTTCTCGGTTATATTGTAAATGATAACGAATGAAGCGCATAATTACAGTTTTGACAAGTAATCATTTACCGCCAGTTGTGCAGCTGGCACGCTATGCTATAATCAGCACAAAAAGGTACTTGCAACAGAACCATAAGACATGTTCTTTTTTTCTCGTATTTTTGAAAAGTTATACATGTAAATATTGTAACATGCACGAATTATCGTTCTGTATTCGTTCTGTTGTCCACAGAATGTTTTCTAGGGATAAGTATATCATTTGGGGCATTTTATTTAGCAGTTTTTCATGGCAGCTGCAGTTGATGTTGTAATGAAGTTTAACGTTTTATCCCAAATGGTCTCCATTTCTTTACAGTTAGAAGATGACACCCTCATCACATCCCACTCTCCAGAAATTGAAATGGCAGAGGAAAGCACAAACGATATGGAAGATACGCGGGTAAGTTTTATCTCATGGCAAAAAGTTCTGAATATAAATATACATATGATGTAAATAGGTTACTTTTTGGGGGGTGATAACATCACATATATATATATATATATATGTATATATATATATATATATATATATATATATATATATATATATATATATATATATATATATATCACGTGATATCCATTAATATATGCAAATGCATTTCAGGACTGAATTTACTCGCACTAATAACAAAAGGACAAAGGTCTGCAGAGAAAATTCAACATTTAAGTGTTATTTTACTACATGACGGCGACATGTAGAACCCCTTTCGTCGATGATTATGTGCATTTAAAATTGTTTTCGTCAGGTGTGAAAATATCACCGATTACATGTAGATGTTTTCTTCTCGATTCAGATGTAGAAGTCGCCAGCAGCAATCCAGGAAAACTGCCTCACCAGTACTCTCATATTCCAAAATGGTGACTCTGCCTTACAAATGTTAAAGGGGACGCTTTCGTGAATTACTTTATTTTCATTGGAAAATTTTCATTATGAATATAGCCACAATAAAAATAATGATAATAATTATAATAAAATTTATTTAAAGACTGAATTCCTTACAAGTTCAGTAGACTTTACAATGATAAAATGCTTAAATATTTTAGTATTAGAAACACGCTGTAAAACCATCGATAAGACATCAAATTAAAGAGTGCACTTCAAATTACATTAAAAGTTTTACACTTAAACAATTTCCCCTATAAAGTTTCTTTGAAAGTAGCTGTAAAACCATAGTTAAGAAATTAAATAAAAGAGTAAATTTAAAATAAAATGAATTGTTTACACCTCACACAATTTCATTTGTAAAGTTCCTTTAAGTTTAAAATAAATGTTTTGAGTTCTTTTTTAAAACCATGTTTTGACACTATTCGAGAGGCAGTATGTTCTATTCCACTGGAGCCGATACCATAAAAGTCTTGTCACCATAGGTTTTTACTCTGCCAGTTCTTTGTTTTAAAGCGCATTCATACATGTAACAACCGTCTAGGAGATCAAATATGGTCCACCCATTTGAATGCTTGTTGCGTAATTCTCGCGGGGAATCTAATCGGGAATTAAGCGGCAAGCTTTTTAGTGAGTCACCATATTGGATCCGCTGATCTGTTAGTCCGCTGTTCTCAATGGGCTCCTTAAAGTAAGTGACGGACGGGAGGGTGGATAAAATGAAACTAGTTCACAAAGATAAGGAGAAAAAAACATATAATCATGAATGTGCGTAGGATAAAGGCTGTACGGACATCGTGTGACAAATGTAATAAAGGTTTTAAACAGGTTTTAAAGAGACGCTGAAGGCACGCCCTTCTCTTTCCATAGCAATCATCCCATGTCCCCTCCAGCGCAGGGTTTCTGTCATGCGCATTTTTCATTTATGCGAACGCTGCAATTCCACGCCTCTAACGTAGAGCTCACTAATCAACCAATAGACAACGGTCTAATTTTCGCCCTTCACCCTTTGGGGAACACATGGTTTAACTCGTCCAAACTCCACCCTATCACAAGCAGCTCCCTGACCCACGGCCCATGTTTATAGCGCAACGGTCTTTAACACCATTCAGTCTTTGCGTCCCGATCAGCGAGCAACAGCGTTCTAAACGAAGAAACTACGCG